CACATTTTAAACCCACACATTTTAAAACAACAGAGAGGACATATTACATAAACGCTAGAAGCCACAGTATACAAAAATAAATAAATAAATTTTACATTTTAAAATTATAGTCTAATTTTCACATTTAATTGTAATTTAATATTACAATCTACTTTTCACATATTAAATCCACACTGCAGGACCCATCAGGGTACAGAAACATAACCCCCCCACCTAGCCCTACCCCCCCAAGCTCAAAAAAACCCTGTACAGTACAGTAAATACAGTGTATGTACTCACTCAGAACAGGCAGTCTCTGTTTTTTAAAAAAGTCAGAAATCCAAAAATCAAAACTAAAATTTAAAAGCCAAAAAAAAAAACCCAGTCCGTACAGTACAGTACCAGGCAATACCAATCAGTACCAATCAGTCTGAAGACTCTCTCCCTATCCACTCTCTAACCGCTTGGATGAGCGATGTTGCAGACAAACAGCCTCTTCGCTGGCCAACGGTCAACTGAAAGTTCAAATTTCGCGCTTTCCTCGCCTCCCCGCGGTTTTTCCCGTTAGTATCTTGAAGCTCCATTCACAAGTAGAAGCAATATTTTGCGAACTGAGCTGTTCGTAAGTTGGAACATTCGTAGCTAGGGACGTTCGTAAGTAGAGGTTCCTCTGTATGTCCTATTAACTTCAGCAAATCCTCTCTAACTTTTTTCTAAGTTTGATTCTAACGGGCTGCTGAGGAACGGGTCTTTAAGGGTGGGTAGAATTCCTTTTTTTTTTCCTGTTGTGCTGAGGCTGAGGTAGCATCTTAGTGAACAGATGCCAAAGAAAGATATGACTGGGTTTTGTTAATTGATTAATGAGGTGTTACAAAGGTTTTGTATTCTGAAACTGGAATAGAGTAATATAGTAGAAGTTCACATCAGGCCACAGAAACTGATGAAACGTTAAGAAAAGCAGAAAACATGTTTAACAATAAACAGGAGCTTGGGTATGTACCAACATAATATATTTTGAGGAGAAATACTCAAACAGTTACACTTGCTTAGGCAGAAATTTGGAGTTGCTTGCTTGTTTGTTTTTGAAGGAATTTATTTGATCATCAGAAATTGTTAAATCTTATGAGTGTGAAGTGAAAACATGTCAGTTAATAGACTTTATTTAATAAAGGAAAAGTTCTTAAAATGTTATGTGCTTCGCTTCATTATAAAATATTCAGGTGAATTTAGGAACTTTGAAGCACCTGCTTGATAAATCTGGCAAGACAACCATCAAAGCCTATTGAGTCTACTGCAGAGTAGATTGGAATGCTTCTTTTGTCTGCGGGATGTGTTCGAATATGATCAGTTAGATATTTTTCTATTGTTTTAACATTTTTAAAACATGTTATTCTATGATCTTTTGATCAGATAAGGCCAGGCTATGTCTGTTTGGCTCTTCAAAGAATGGGTTTGGATTCCGTGACAGTGACCTGGATATTTGCATGACATTGGAGGGCCATGAAAATGCAGAGGTAACTTTTTTTCAAAATAAAATATTGTATATTTAAAGGAAAATATGTTGTGATATCATATATATGTATGTATATATATTTTCCCAATCTGCTTCCTGTTTTTTGAGTTATTTGTGAGAGTATATAGGTAGTAACACAGGCCTCCATTTGTTTTTCCTAGAAATTAAATTGTAAAGAAATTATTGAAAGTTTGGCAAAGGTTCTTAAAAAGCATCCAGGTATGTATATAATAATGCATGTTTAATACTTGCATTAAAGTATACTCTTTAAGGGATATGTTACTTACCAAAATCTTACATACTCAGGTTTAAGAAACATCCTGCCTATAACTACAGCCAAAGTGCCTATAGTAAAATTTGAGCACAGAAGAAGTGGCTTAGAAGGAGATATCAGCTTATACAATACACTGGCAAGTATCTGTTTCAGGATTAGACAAAGTGCTATATCAAGTGTTGGGTGAAAGGCTTGTCTGGGCATGCTAATTCTTTAATGGCTGGAATCCTATTGAGTTTGCACCTTGTGAACTGGTGCAAAATAACTGGTGTGCACAGTCATTCTGATTCTTTACCTGGATATCACCAGTTTATGTACTCAGTTATGCATTTGGTTATGTGCCCAGGCATATGACAGAAGACCAGGGCACTGTGTAAACTGCTTGCACAGTTTTCTTCATACATGCTGTATTTTGCAATAATGTTATGGCCAATGCCTAAATATTGTAGTTAGTACAGTGGTGCCTCGCATAGCGAGGTTAATCCGTTCCGGATTAACCTTCGCTATGCTGAAGCATCGTTGAACGGATCAAAAAAACCCATTGGAACGCATTAAACATCGTTTAATGCGTTCCAAATGGGCCAAATACTCCCCGGTCAGCGAAGCTTCGTAATGGCCGGCAGCCATTTTCGCGCCCTCGCCTCGCTTAACGAGGGCGCGAAAACGCTGCGCGCGGCCATTTTGGGCCATTTCCGGGCTTCCGGCGGCCATTTTGGCCGCCGAACAGCTGATCGGCGGGGGTCGTTTTGCGAAGATCGGTAAGCGAAACGCTTACCGGTCTTCGCAAAGCGAATTTAGCCCTATTTTAAAAACGTTAAGCGATCGCATTAGCGATCCCAAAAAACGGATCGCTATGCGATTTCATCGTTATGCGGTGCGCTCGTTAAGCGAGGCACCACTGTATTGCATAATTTTAGCTGACTGGATAGCTTTGTCAGTTAAGTATCTGACTGTGGAACCAGAGGTTTAGAGTTAGACCGCCCACTATGCCTCCTGAAAGTTGAGTCAGCCTGTGTGGTCTTGGGCAAACTGCACTGTCCCAGGATGTCCTCATAAGGAGGGTACTCTGAGTACTTTTTGTCCCCCAAAACCTCCTCCTCCTTCTTGCATTTTAAGTAAAAATTGAGTGAAAGAGTGGAGAGTGTTTCATAACTGTTTGTTAACTTTTATTTGTACATAAGCAAATGTCACTGAAGGAAACAAAAGAGGCTAATGAATGACACTTCACTGTTTGATTGTACATAATCAAAAGTACAACTTGATTGTAAATAATTCTGCCTAATTCCCTTCCTATGCACTGCCAAAGAAGCAACATATTGGGTGAAATCCTGTTGCTTAGTCTAGTAAGTCACAACTAGTGTAGGCCTGTTTGGATCAGTGGAACTGACAGAGAAATTGACTCACCAAATCTCCATTGATTCATTGAGCCTATTCTAGTACCACTTACTATGCTAGGCAACAGGATTTCAGCCATAGTATAGATGTGATAGCAAAAAAAGAGGGTTAGCATATTGATCTCATGCTTCCTTTAGCTAATAATTTAATTTTTTATATTTTTCAAAAAAAGGCACAGCATAACACAAGAATGCTTGCAACATACGCAGCCATTGATCCAAGAGTGCAATACTTAGGATACACAATGAAAGTTTTTGCAAAGGTAAATATAAGTGGGAGGTGTAACATCAGCATATGTGTTGAGTTTCCTCATTAATCCCTGTTGCAAACACATGGTGCATATTCAAGTGCAAGTTGTTTTGAAAGTGGAATTTGAAATTCTAGTCAAGATGCACACCATGGTTGCTTTCTTTGTCTAAAACTGTCCTTGTCTTCCAATTGTGACTTACAGATAGCTCATGTAAGCTGTTAACCTGGCAGGTGGCCTTATTACTGGCTGCCTTTCCACTTGTAATTTCTAACACATTCCATTAAAAAGTAAGTTCTGTGTGTTTATATTGGAGCTTTAGAGTTGTTATTTTTTCTGCATCAGTGACCAAATAATTAGGCTACCAATTGAATGTTTGATTTTTTTTGGAAAAGGAAAGATCCATGCTTTGACTTTTTAACTTTTGCTAGCTTCGAAGGCTAGCCAGTTGACTTGTGGAACTATTGTGTAATAAACATGAGTCCAGATTTATGAATGCCTTGTCTTTTCTTTTTAATTAAAGTCTTACGGATGGGAGCTTTCTATAATGTCACATATCATCTTTAATTATGTTTTAGTGAATACCTGAGGTTCAAAATATTATGCTCTGACTTGGTAGCAGCATTAAGAAATACCTTTTCTTATGAAACAAATGGTGTTCCCTCACCATTTCACATTTGATAGATCTGAATGCCACATATTCATTTTATTCAAAATATATGTCACTAGCGCTGTGATATTGGAGATGCATCCAGAGGGAGTCTGTCTTCATATGCCTATATCCTTATGGTGTTATACTTCCTACAACAAAGAGAACCTCCAGTAATTCCAGTTCTTCAAGAGGTATGTTTTCAAGGAGGGGGTTATCATGGAAGAGAGTGGGTAGAATTCTGTTTGTCTTTGCATGTAATGTCAATGTTGCTTATAGCTCTTTCTGAAGAATTACTGAGGTTTGAACTGGATAGCTTCCTAGCCAAGCCATGGGCTCCCAGTATTGTCACAGATCCTTTTTAATAGCTGCTTCATAGATCACATCATTCCTGTGCAAAAGATACTTCTAGGTAGGAATGGATATATTTGAATGTTGTTTTCAATTGTCATTCATGGTGATTCCACATACAGACTTCTTGCTTTGCATATACAGTAGTGGTAGTGATGGAGGTTTTTGTATTCGTATACAAATAGGAGTATCCTTCTACAGGTGGATACTCCCCATTTCGCACTGATGCAAGCTTGGCGGAGCCTTCCTATTGTGCCGTTGTCTGCAATGGATTAGCAATGGATTAGCCACTCTGTAACCTGGCAGAGAGGCTTGTCATTCCACCTCCTGCCATCTCTAATATACACCATGAAAATTATGTGGGTTCAGTCATATTTGATGTTAAACACAAGGGAGCATATTTGAGTACAAAAGTAATTTCGATATAAGAATGTCGATGATATATGAAGTAAATCAAACTGTGAGCATTCTAAAATGGAAGTTAAAGCGAGAGATGAGATTATGTTCTTTTATTTTGATTGATTGCTAAGGCTAAAAATGGTGACCTGTTGGTCAGGATTCCACAGTGCATTCCTGTTGGGAGAAGTTGTAAGAGGCAATCCCCCTCCTCTGTAGTAGCCCGTGTATGCGTCAACAACTGTTCCAGAGGACCTGGGCAGAATTTGGGGGTGTGATGGGGGACAGAATTTGGGATGGGAAAAGTCATTCCATCCTGGTTCTGCTGATTGAATTGATTCCACCAAAATAACAACTGGATTCTACCCATTGTTTTAAACTTAAAACAAGTTGGTTGGAGGGTATAACATTTTTCAAAGGTTTGAGGCCTAGTGTCATTTTTAATTTTTGAAATTAAATGTTGACGGTCTGTAGAAATACTGCACTTGGGCCCATTGTAAACTATTTCATGTTTTTTTAATGTGAAATAATAGTTTTGTATTCTGGTTGTTATTATTCTGACTGTACAGATTTCTGCCTCTGTTCATTGCTTTTTAGATATTTGATGGACAACAGATCCCTCAAATAATGGTTGATGGTTGGAATGCATTCTTCTTTGATGATACGGAAGAACTGGTAATCTTTTAATTCTAGACTAATTAATTAATTTTTCAGTATACAGTGGTGCCTCGCTTAACGAGTGCACCGTATAACGATGAAATCGCATAGCGATCCATTTTTTCGGATCGCTAATGCGATCGCTCAACGTTTTTTTAATGGGGAAAAATTCGCTTTGCGAAGACCGGTAAGCGTTTCGCTTACCGATCTTCGCAAATTGAGGCCTAGTGTCATTTTTAATTTTTGAAATTAAATGTTGACGGTCTATAGAAATACTGCACTTGGGCCCATTGTAAACTATTTCATGTTTTTTTTAATGTGAAATAATAGTTTTGTATTCTGGTTGTTATTATTCTGACTGTACAGATTTCTGCCTCTGTTCATTGCTTTTTAGATATTTGATGGACAACAGATCCCTCAAATAATGGTTGATGGTTGGAATGCATTCTTCTTTGATGATACGGAAGAACTGGTAAACTTTTAATTCTAGACTAATTAATGAATTTTTCAGTATAGTTTTATTGCTCCTCATATACTTTTAATCATTTAAAAAATTATTGGCAATTTATCTGGTATTCCACAGGTGAAAAAAGCAGCTTCCTTTACAGTCTGTTGGACAGAGGAAGGGTTGTAAGCAAAATGACTGATTGGAGTCTCAAAGTGGAAAATAATACATGGTTAAAGCAGAGTCCCAAGAAACATAAAATTAACAGCTCAGATCTTTTGAACACAGGAAGCTTGCAGTATTTTCACTGATGGCAGCATATCTTAAAGCTCTCTTAGACTGAGTTGTGGAATAATCAGGGGGCAAGTTTGATTTGTGTACAAGATTCAGAGGCTGAAATCTAGTACTGTAGTAAGTTACAACTATAGTAGACTCATTGAATTAATGGAGATTTGGTGAGTCACCTCCTCTTAAATTTCACTGAGTTGGTGTGCATCTTCTAGTTAGAACTTGCAACAGTGTTTCAGCTGGTGTTTTCTTCTTTTGATGGAAAGGATTATACATTTTAATTTAGCTTCCTTAGCAGCCTTTTTTCTCTGTCTTTTTATTAAAATATGTCCAGACCTGAGTAATGGTAAGATCTTCACATTAAAGTTAAAAACCAAACAAACAAACAAAACCAAAATCAAATGAGAGCATGCACAAATATCATCTGTCTAATTGTGGAGTTCCAGTTGACTGTGAGCCACCTTGCATCCACCATGGGGAGAAAGGTGCATGTAAATGAAATGAATAAATAAGAAGTTAGCAAAGAGAACAACAAAGAGGTGAAATCAGCAACGTAGCCTAAATGTCTTTTTAAACAAGAGGCTTATTTTTCTTGTCAAAAAGAGAGAATAGCATGAGTTTGGGGGGAGTCTTCAAACACGTTAAAAACTGTATCCAGGCAAGCAAGGACTTTATGATACAGGATATAGTATAAGTTAGAGTATGTGCAGTCTCACATGGATTGCACATGATCTGAGCTATGAAGGAGCCAAATAATTGGCCAGTAGCCTCTGGTGCTCTGTGAAAGTGTCCCAGTGACATACTGCTGCTGTGCCATTGCCTTTCTTTTTTGCTGTCACTGCCTGTCTTCCTGCCGCAATTAGAGCGGTATTTGAGGACACTTGTCCAGACCCGCTAAATGATACTGGCAACTGTATCAGTCCCACAATATTGTACTTAGAAAAACATAGCTCAGACTTAGTGTGACCACTGTGTTTTCCCGAAAATAAGACAGGGTCTTATATTAATTTTTGCTCCAAAAAACACATTAGGGCTTATTTTCAGGGGACATTATATATTTTTTTTTCATGTACAACAATGCATTTATTCAAATACAGTCATATAATCTTCTGGTTGCTGCACAATGCTGAACAATAGTGGAGGGCGGGGTTTCACTTCACTGGGGCTTATTTTTGGGGTAGGGCTTATATTATGAGCATCCTGAAAAATAATACTAGGGCTTATTTTTCAGGCTAGGGCTTATTTTCAAGGAAACAGGGTTTGTCTATGCGCTTCCTAGTTTTCTCTTTTTAAGCTCAGATGACTAGTGGTCTGCTTTGGCCAGAGATGGTGCAGATGGAGGGGCAAGATGTAAAAACTACCTTTTAGAGTATACAGGCATAATTGCCAGAGTGCTACACTGTTTTCTGGGATACAGAAATCACAGCACAGAGCTGTTGCCATTCACACTCTGAAGCAAATGGAATGTTCCAGTACCTATAGCCCAAAAGAGAAGTACAGTGGTGCCTCGCATAACGAGCGCACCGTTTAACTACGAATCCGCATAGCAATCTATTTTTTTAGATCGCTAATGCGATCGCATTGCGATGTTTTAATGGGTAAAACATTGCATTGCGTACCGATCTTCGCATTGCGATGTTTTTTGAACAGCTGATCGGCGGTTCCAAAATGGCTGCCGCAACCATTTTCGCGCCCTGCCCTTGCTTACCGAGGGCGCGAAAATGGCGGTGCTATGGAGGAACTTCGCTGAACGGTGAGTTTGGGCCCCATAGGAACACATTAAACGAAGTTTAATGCATTCCTATGGCTTTTTCCGTTCCGTTTAGCGATGTTTCCTCATAGCGACGATTAATCTGGAACGGATTAACGTTGCTATGCGGGGCACCACTGTAGAGTAGTCTGTATTTATTAGGTGGAATTTGTCTTTTTCAATACACAGTGTTCCTTACAGCCATCAATTTATGCATGTCTATGCTGCAGACGTGGTGGCGCTGTGGGCTAAACCGCAGAAGCCTGTGCTGCAGGGTCAGAAGACCAGCAGTCGTAAGATCGAATCCACGCGATGGAGTGAGCTCCCGTCGCTTGTCCCAGCTCCTGCCAACCTAGCGGTTCGAAAGCATGCAAATGCAAGTAGATCAATAGGGACCACCTCGGTAGGAAGGTAACAGCGTTTCATGTCTAAGTCGCACTGGCCATGTGACCACGGAAGATTGTCTTCGGACAAAACGCTGGCTCTATGGCTTGGAAACGGGGATGAGCACCGCCCCTAGAGTCGAACACGACTGGACAAAAATTGTCAAGGGGAACCTTTACCTTTACTTTATGCTGCAGACATTAGGAGTGGAGGTGCTCTCATCTTGAGCTTGTACAAGTAAAATATTTGCTGTCAGCATGGTTAATTCTTTTTCCTGCTCATGTGTATTAGTATATATTAAGAAAAGCACAGCCTTGCAATAACTGTGTATGAAATAATTCACAATATTTTACTCCTGAATTTCCCCCTAAATTAAAGTGTTATGTTGGGAAAAAATGTTGTCTGTTGACTTCATCTGCTGTAACTTTTATACAGAAAAAACGTTTGCCTTCTCTTGGGAAAAACACAGAATCACTGGGAGAACTCTGGTTAGGGTTACTGCGATTTTACACTGAAGAGTTTGACTTCAAGGAGTATGTCATCAGCATTCGGCAGAAGAAGTTGTTAACCACATTTGAGAAACAGTGGACATCTAAATGCATTGCTATTGAAGGTACATGAGAATTTTTTAATGTAATAAACAGGACTCATTCCTCTGGAGGAATTATTAAATTGTTAAGATCAGTAAAAGCTTGCCCTGTTTCTCTTACAATAGCAGTATTCAGTAAAAGAACATTTTGCTTTTACAAAAATTTAGTAGCACAAGGGTCTCCTATTAACGAAAGCTGTCAGTAGTTTTATGTGCTTGTTTAATACTGTTTTTATTCCTTTTGCTCAGATCCTTTTGACTTGAATCACAACCTGGGTGCAGGAGTTTCCAGAAAAAGTAAGATTAAAAAGTAGTATTATTGGGAGCTAATGAGTTTCTGAAGCACATGAGTTGTTTTAATACATATTTATTGTTTCATTTGCAGTGACTAATTTCATAATGAAGGCATTAATCAATGGGAGAAAACTCTTTGGTACCCCCTTCTATCCTGTTTTGGGAAGAGAAGCTGTAAGTTCTCTCATTTTGCAACTTGAAGTGTGCTGGTGCTTAAATTTTTTTCCTTTAAGCACATAAGAGCCAGTACATTAACTTTTCTTGGGATCCAGTAAGCAAGTTTGTACTTTGGACAAATCGGTCTTTGCTGCTTCCCAACCCCATCTCTCTAGCAGGCACCTACTCAGAGGCAGTGGCCTGGCTTCCCTTCCCTGCATTTTCCAAGCATTGCCTCTCAGTGTGCACCCTCATGAGAAAGCAGGGCTGGTAAGCGTCAAATACCTGTTCATCTGACAGACAAACCAGAGTGGTTCATGCCCATCTCTAATGTGTACTTCTAAAACAGTATGACTTTGCTTGTAGAACAAATTAATGTTACAAAATTGCAGGTAAAATAAACTACTGTATTAGTAGATGGCATTAGTAGGTATTAACAGGCTACAATCATACTCTTTATGTTTTTGAGTCTCCATGATGATTTCTAGAAATAGCGTCTGAATGTTTCCTTGAATTTGGCAGCATTTACTGAAAAAAGAGCAACATTATTTTTCATATTTTGGTTTGTCCAAAAACAAGAAACCTACTTGTTTCTGCTTCCCAGTGTTTCAGTTTCTTCCCTAGTCTGTGTGATTAGAAGTTCTGCGTAGCTTAAAGGTTTACAGTAGCTTAGCTAACATTGCTTATTTTTGTGTAAAAAATAGTACCCTGTTTCCCCGAAAATAAGACAGGGTCTTATATTAATTTATGCTCCAAAAATGCATTAGGGCTTATTTTAAGGGATGTTTTATTTTTTTCATGTACAAGAATCTACATGTATTCAAATACAGTCATGTCATCTTCTGCTTCCTGCACAATGGTGGAGGGTGGGGTTTCACTTAACTGGGGCTTATTTTTGGGGTAGGGCTTATATTACGAGCATCCTGAAAATTTTTCTAGTTAGGTCTTATTTTCGGGGAAACAGGGTAGCTGTGGCTAGCCCCATTAAGGAGTTGGAATTGCTTTTGAGCAGACATGCAAAAAAATCCAGTGATTGTTTTTCCATCTGTATTTACTTCTTGGAAACTAGTTATAAACTGTAATCTAGATTTTTATTATTTTATTACATATACAGTTTGAATGGATGAATATAAATATGAGAACACAAACACTGGTTTTTATATTTTAGGCACCTGGGGTTGTGGCCAATAGATTGTTTAATAACATATGCCACTACAATTTTTTCCTCTCCCTCATCTCTTCCTTGTTTGTAGATAATATTATCTAGATAATATTTTTTAAATTGTAGATAATAGGGGTTTTTTTCTCCTTAAGGAGTACTTTTTCAACTCTAAAGTACTGACTGATGGCGAGCTGGCACCCAATGACAGATGTTGTCGTGTCTGTGGCAAAATTGGTCACTATATGAAGGACTGCCCCAAAAGGAGGAGGTTAGAAAAATGCACACATATTTCATTTAAAATAAATGTATGATACTTTCTGTTATACAGCTCAAATCAGCAAAATTTTTGGAATCTGTCTTACCACCTTTTCATTTTCTAGTTTGTCTCAAATCTGCATACTACTTTTCATTATTTTTCTTAAGCTGTTTTTAAAGGTGTCACATATTTTACTTTTTCCCCTGGAGAAACTTTTGCTAGGCGTAATGCTGGGATTAAATAGTGGCAAATATTATGCTAAAATAATTAATACTTTCTGTATAATCTCTTTGGAGTTCTCAGGAACAATGCTAGAATTTCCTGTGTGTGGAAGGGTAAATGTAGTGATAAGGATGCTTGCAAGACACTGTCATTTCAAAAAGATTTCCTTGACAATTTATTAATAATCTCCATTTAATCATTATTGCCTGTAGTTTCCTCTCAGTTGGGAGAAAAGAACCCTCAGCAGCAGCTCAGAGCTGAGATAATTTTGCAGTTCATTCTGAATCCTGTTGAGATTAAATTGCATTCTACTATACTTCTCAGAATTCTCCAGCACAAGTTCCATTTTATTCTTACTCACAAAGTGGGACTGGAGTTAATCTCGAAGGCTTTTTTTGGTCATCATTTTCCCATTCATTCCTTCATTGGCTGATTCTGTAGCAGTCACAGAGTTTCAGAGATATTTTATAGTGTAACTGGAACACTTTTCAAATGTAGGTTAAAGAAAAAGGAGAATGAAAGAGATGATGAAAAGGAAGTCAAGGAAGAAGACAGAGAAGCTAGAGAAAAGAGGTGTTTTATCTGTGGTGATGTGGGACATGTTCGAAGAGATTGTCCTGAATTCAAACAGACAAGACAAAGAAGCAATGGTGTTCAAGGTAAAACAGACCTCTTCACTTTCTTCAATGTTACATTTTGGAATTGCAGGTGTCTTTAAAAAAGGTTTGCGATTGTGTTGAAACAAGATATAAATTGCTCAGAGCTGTGAATATTCTTCACAAAATAATGAATGAAATGGGAAGATAGTAAGGCACATACTTCCCTATCCTGTTGCATAGCTAAACTAGCATGGGGAGGGGGGTGATGTCACCAGCAGCGGCGGATTGCTGCTAATTATAGATTACATGCTTTGATTTTGGATTGTGAGTGTCTGCTGTGTACTGAAACAATGTTGCACATAACCTGGAATTGAAGGGGTTTAGCAATGCAGCAGACTGCTCGTTCATTCAGTTTTTAAAATACCTTATTTCTGGCAAAGGGCACTGTTGCAAAAACGCAACAAAAATATTCTGGCAACACTGTGTTCTTGAAAACTTTCATGGCTGGGATCCGATGGTTGTTGTGGGTTTTTTGGGCTGTTTGGCTGTGTTCTAGAGAACATGGCCGAAATAGCTCAAAAAAACCCACAGCAACCATTTTGGCAACACATCACTCCTTTCAGTAACAATCTGTTTGATTTCTTAACTTATATTAACAATGCATGTTCCCTCTGTTTTACCATTTAGCTGTTCAGATAGTCCGAACCCTTGTTAACTCACAGCAAGTATCTGGGCCAGTTCAGCAGCAAGTGGAAAGACCCTTACGCACTAGACAGCCATCAGAAAGTGTAAGTTATTATGAATAATTTAATATGAGAAACCAGCATAAATATCGTGAAAATAAAGCTGCAATTAACATGACATTTCTTACTGTGAGGGAGGTCTTGAGCATTTTGATAGTCCCAACTAGATTAGACGTATTGAATAAATAGGATGTGTGTTAACTCACCATTTAGGAATTGATTCAGTGAATCTGTTTTACTTTGCACTAGCTTTAGACCAGTATATTTTTATTTTTGTAGTAGTTAACATGCCTGTTTCTTAGAAGAAGGGCTTATTCCGTGGAATGAAAAGGTTCAGTCACCTTTCAGTGAAACATCATTTGTTAGCTGAACTTGTACTGTTTCATTTAACTTTAACTCTGCTTATGAGTCGAGGTTCAGTAACTGAGGATGATAATGTTTCTTTGTAATAGGGACTTATGTATGCATCATGTGCTCAAATGAAACACATAATTAACTGGTGAACTAATGCAAACTACATCCTTTTTTTCCCCTCTCCAGTCTGATTCGCGTCAGTCATCTTATTCTCCACAGCCTCAGCAGTTTTCCCAGAATTCCTCTCCACCAACTTCCATTAACCAGACTCAGCCACAGTCAATATCCCAGTCTAAGCATGCTGTGCAGCCCCAGCAAGGGGCACAACCACCCCACACCGTCCAGCTGCCTTTATTTAACTTTGCCCAATCCCCCCCAGGTCAGTATTCCACCTTGCCTAACCTGGGACTATTTCAGATGCACCCCCACCAAATTCAACTTCCTAACACCTCGTGGCCTGTTATTCACTCTGCACCGGGTAATCCTTCTCATGCTACAAACGTTCCATTTTCTGTGAGGGCTGGCAGCAGCAACCCACCCAGTAACCAGAGCAGCATAAGCTTGAATGATCCTAGTATCATCTTTGCACAGCCTGCTGCCAGGCCGGTAGGAATCCCCAGCAATTCTCACGAGGGACATTGGCACAGCCCTGTGACTCTAAGCTCACTGGTGAACAATGGCACGGTTGGGAATTCAGGTAACTCTCCTCTCTTATTTCATGGCTTGTGCAAATACTGCTGCTTTCTTTACTAAGCATTTCTGAATCTGTTCATTCTAACTGTGGTGCTCTTTTGAGTGCACATGAGGAAACTTTAGAAAGTGTTAATTGTCTCAGCTATGCCTGGATTGTAAACTACATGAAAAGTGGCTGAGAAATATAGACTCATGTTGAAAAGCTTGCAGGTCTTGACACATTATTTAAAGAGAAAGGGATTTGAACTTTCTGTGGAGAAACATTAATTTCATATCTGAAATATCTGAATAGGACAGGGAGCCATATTCATGGAACAACAAGCTTTGCCCATAAGTCCTCCTTAACTTAAGGAGCAGCTTGTGGGTGTATGGGGATGTTACAATGTGGCCACTAGGAAAGATGGCTCCTATTTGTTTTTGTTTTTTCTTTATTTATATCCTGCCTTTCTCCTTAAAAAAAAACCTAAGGCAGCTTACATTATTCAAAAGACAGTATTTAAAAGCTAAAAAATAGTAGGTATACAAATAATTTAAAAGAATGAGAAGAACATTGTGCACAGCCCTTTGGCTTCTATAGAAATTACTTCAGGATGTTATAATGTTTTCCTTTTGAACTAGAGGACTAGTTTTCAGTCATTGGGAGATAGTAAGAAATAATAGAAGTGTCTTTGAGTATATGCAGAATACCTTTCCTACACCAGTGCATAATAGTTTATTTTATTTTTTTTTATTTTATTTCTATCCCGCCTATCTGGTCATACTAGACCACTCTAGTGCGTCATAAAGGGCATCACCACAAGGTATTGCATAACAGATTATATATCAGGAAAGGAAGGAACTTTGCTTCAGATAAATTGTTTTCTAGTCAGGTGTGAGCCTTATCAGTGTTTGAGCCTTTCTCAGAAAATAATCATTCATCATTATACCTCCATCAGTTCAATCAACTGAATAGATATCTGCAGTATTTTGCTCAGGGTAACATAACACACTGCCTTACAGCATTCCTTTTTCATATATTCACAGTTTATATTGCTTATCTAGGCCCATTTGTGAAACCATGTTGTGAGGGTTTGCTATTAGCCTCCAACTTTTGCTCAAATAAACCAGGAGTCGTTTTTAATCCAACCTTCAAACTTGTATTTATTTTTTGCATCAACAGCGTAACATCTCTCAATGGCTCAGTTTGTAACTTCTCCTGCGATACTACCATAGTTCTGTATCGAACGGTTTTGCAGATAAATGGGTTGTAACTGGGAACTTCGGCATCTGTGTTTTCTTCTTTCAATAGCGGTAACATCTCGTCGTCCCCGTCATCTCCCCATACCGGGTCTCCTTCTCCCGTAAAGTGTCCCCATGGTCCTGGAGGTGCATCATCCTCCGGGGTTCCTCATCTCGTCATGCCCAATGTGCCTCGGCTTCCCGGGCTACCGCCTCTTTCTCCTCCCTGTCATTGCCTCCACTCCCAAGCCTCGGATTCACCCCAGTACGACGGTCGCTGAGGTAGACCTTGTCTGCGGCAGTAATCTGCCTCTTCCCGAAGGACTCTGACCTTTTCACATTTCCCTGTCCATGGGTCTTCCACCCAGATGAGTTCCCAGCCGCCTGGTATGTTGTCGTGGTAACTATAATCTCCATTCCCGTCTCCGCTACAGACCCCCTTTCCCGCCAATTCTCCGTTTGTGTTGCCACAGTCAGACCCCGCAGATTTTTCTCCAGCTCCTGGGTATCTATCCCCTGGGAGGGGTTGGCGGTGGAGTGGTCTGTACCTCTCTGGAGGTCTTACATGGGGACGGCACTCCGACGAGAGCCTTTGTGCTCTCATCCCGCTTATTACACGTGTGTGTGTGCGTGTGTGTGCGCGTTCACAAACACGGTTTCACAAACAGGCCTAGATAAGCAATATACACTGTGAATATATGAAAAAGGAATATATATATTAAAAATATAAATAGATAGATGCTATTCACTTGCTGATGTTCTTTTTATATTGCAAATGATTGTTGATTTCATACAGTTTTCCTTTTTGAATGAAAATTAGATCAGGGCTTCCAAGGACAGTTTGGTAAAACAAACCCACCTCCGCCTCCTCCCGTTCCTTGGGACCATGGAGCCCCTGCCCATTTTCCTCTTCTTCGAGGGACGTGGCCTTATAATATGTCTACAAACTACATGCAACAGGGAAATGCCAGCTATCCATTGAACAAACCCTTCTATCCTCAAGGTACTAAGAATAACTTCACAAAGCTACTTTGGCACCTTTCTGCTATTTTTTAAAAAAATGGTTTTAGGCTGCAGCCCTAAGTTATTAGTAATAACTTATTAATGAAACATCAATTCAGTAGTTTGCAAATGACCCTATAAAGAGATACAAAATTCAGGTTTGTAGCATAGAACTTTGAATGCAGTGGGAAATGCTTAGAATCTCCATGCTTAGAATCATTCTACTATGGAACAAATCCTATTTGATTAAGGGTAGCTTCTTTGGGTTAAAACTAAACTAAGATTAAATTATCTTTTGGGCTTAATTAATTTAGTTATATCACATCTTTTTCACTTATATCCTAAAATAAGGTTTTCCCTGTATTGCATGTCTGTTAAAAAGAGTAGCCCTCTTATTCAATGCGAATGGCAAATATTTTTCCCATGCTGGACGCTGCCCACTCGGTAGGTTTTAAAGGTGACAGGTAACAGTATTCCTCAGTTTATATAAACAAATAGCATAAATCTACCTTTGGCAAGTTTTCTCTTTAGTTAAATCCTACTTATTGTTTGTACAGTATCTTTTCTGTTAAGTTAGTATGGATAGTGTTTTGGTCTATTTTCGAACAGTCCTGTTTTCTGCTGCTAAATGGAGATAATTTAAGGTCTCCTTTCACTTTATTTGTTAAATGCAGTGCACTTCTGTAGTGTCTCTTAAAATAACTATAATAAATTTTCTTTCAGCTGGCTTGCTGATGCAGAATAACCAGCAGTTTTCACTTCTGTCTCAAGGACATCCACATGTGAACATGAACTTTATTCAGCAGAAGAAATGAAATTTGATTAAGGGGATGAAAAGAAATCAGGTTCTGGATTAAAATCTTACTGCAAAATGTTTAGATAAGAGATTATTTAAAACTGTTTTTAACTGTATAATTTGTATATAGATATATAGTTTTTACCAGTATCACACAAACAAGTGATATAAATATCATCTATTTTATTACCCTATTTTTAAGGGGAACTGTGTTTTATCTTGATAAACTGTAAAGAGAGTTTTAAAAATTAAGTTGTTTATTTTCTATTAGCTTTATTCATACTTTGGTTCAGACTTTATATCAAATGTTCTAAAAAGAAACTAGAAAGAAATTTCAAGTGTTAAGGATTGTCATTTCTTTATAGAACAATGTAGTGCCAAAACATTTTTAAAAGAAAAAAAAATAAAATTGCAAAATTAGAAATCATCATCAGACTTTTTTCTTTTGTTTATGTATTGGAATTCTCCAGTTATGTTGCACCTTTTCTAATATAATAAACATGGGGAAATTGTGTAGATGTTTAGACCAATTCAGATTGGCATCTGAATCTTCAGACATCTTCAGTATGTGGTTTGGCAGTCAGTTTCCAATAATAGAGGAACCTTCATGTACGCATCATTGTGAAACTGAAACATATTTTACGTCTGAATGGTGTATAAGTTCAGCTTTGTCCTTTCTTCTGAATTTTCTATTCTGTATGATTGTGTGTACTTCAGAGGGCTTACATCTCCTTGATTTTAGTGGCACTGAACTGCCCAATGATAATCCCAGCTAGCCAGAGGGACTGAGGCTATGTTGAATCTAAGCCTTACCACCATAAGGATATTGGGAATCAAGACACCTTTAGCCACTGTGATAGCATAGCTGCTGTGTATTTAAGCCAGTAATTTCTGGCTCATCCCATCCAGCCCAAGGGCAACTGTGCCAGCATAAGAGGTTCTGACCATTCCAAATCCACTACAGTCAGTATTTTCAGATTTTGACTGTGCTGCTTAAGAGACAAATGTGAGGGGGCTAGACTAAGTGGAGGATGAGATAGTTCTGCAAGAACCCTAGCTAGCACAAGTGGTACATGAATAAATATAAAGCTAAACTAAAATCTGGATACCCTATTTATATTTAGTTGAAAACATGCTCTTTTGAACTTAAAGGGGCTCATTTCCAACTCAGCATGTGTGGATTTTTTTTGTTGTCGAGGACACGTGATGAATAGATTTCTCTCTGCTGCAAAAATTTCTTACCCTTCATTTTGTAAAAACCTCTTTCATTGAATTAATCACATATTGTGACTGTATCCAAAGTAAATCACATACAGATGACATGTATACTGCAACTTGCTTATCAAATAATTTTAATAAACAAAGTAAAACAGTAGTAGTTCTCCCTGCCCCAGACACAGAAATAATTCCCTCCAAAATTTATATTTTGGACCGCTTTTTGGCTCTGTTGGAATAAAAACTGCATACAAATCAGATGAAGACCTATTTGATAAATGCCAAATAGGCAAGGCTTTGACAGTAAGTCTTACAATGAATTTAGACAGTTTTGCATCTTACTATTACGCTAGGTAAGCAGTGATTTTCAAAAGAATTGAAAACCTAGTAACTCTTAGCATAATATAGCTTTTTCTACAGGAGGAATGGATACAATGAGAACATACAATGAAATAATTCCCCTTTAATTGAAACAAAGACAGCTAAATAACAAAAACTAAACAAATACAAAAATTATTTAGCTTTTATCACAATGACATCTACAAAAAAAGTGGTTGAAACAAGATCATTCATTTCCCCGACGACTCTTCTTATGGCTCTTTTTAGATCTGAAAGAACAACAAAGACTTATCACTATTCAGCTGATTTACAATACTAATGAAAATCGTACTACCATGCAGAGATTAATTCATCAGTATTGCTAATGATTAGAAGATGTTAACTGTGCAGCTAATAAAATCTCCACTACATAGATACTGAACTTTTGTACCATGATGAAAAACTAATTATCCCATCATTCCTTTGAAGTAAACCAAGAAAAAGTATATGTTAACTGTGCAACTAATAAAATCTCCAACATAGATACTAAACTTTTGTATCATGATGAAAAACTAATTATCCCATTATTCCTTTGAAGTAAACCAAGAAAAAGTATTCCATGAAGGCCTGTCACAGTACCATAGTTAACCAGCAATATATGAAATCAGTACCTTTCTGGGGACTTAGAATGACTACGATGTCTGTGGCTACGATGATGCCCTGTTGAGAAAATGTAAAATCCTTAATTAGTTTAAGATCCAGATCAATAGTGCAGAATAGTGAAGACAGGAAATAAGTAATTCCTTCTAACTTTACATTGAACTGGTATTAAAATTACCCTCTTTATAGCTAGAAACTTGAAGTATATTGACAGCTGTCAGAAAACACACCCCTCAGTAACTCCCTCCCTGCAAAACAGATTACCTGGAGACTTGGACCTTGATCTATGCCGTCTTTCTCTAGATCTGCTTCTGTGCCGCCTTGGACTCTTACTGCGATGTCTTTCTCGGCGTGGTGATGGACTGCAAAGACACAGACTATACTAATAGAAGGCTTACACAATTTTAAAAAATCAATTTGACATTATAGTGACTTTCTTACCTTCTTCTCTTTGGTGAGCGACTTCTCCTAGAAAGAAGGGAAGAACCAACAAATGTTAATCTGCAGTAGTTTTATAGCCAGAATCATATTTGAAAATATTTTGATAGCACCAAAAATGCTACCTTCTGGGAGATCTGCTTCGGCTTCTCCTGTAACGTAGAGTTGGAGATCTGCGGGGTTTGTCTAGATCTCTGTAGCCTCTTCGTCTGTGATCAGGTGAGGGAATTCTCTCCATCTGAAAGTACAGTATTACCAAAAGTTTGTTTGTCCTGAAATACCTCAGAAGCAGAGCTACACACACAGTATTTTGGACAAGTACTACTGGCTATCCAGTTTAAGCAACTGGATCTGTTCTGTTCCAAAATTAGTTGCCCCAGAGCTCCATTAGTGCCGAAATAGTTCTGACATGGTAAAAGCTGGAAACATGGTTTTGAATGGGTGCCACTGGGTTTCAAACTTATATGATTGTATACCTTACATCTCAGAACTGATTCTCCAAACATGTGCTTCTTTGGCTCAAAAGATCTCCACAATGGTAAGAAACACAAAAGTTTCAACAGTTACTAAAAATTTCCTAATGTAAACAACTGGTTTGATGTTATTGCTCAAATTATTTTCCCCAAGATTTAAATGGGCCCACTGGCTGTTGGCTTTTAATAGGGCCTGACCATAAGTATTTGCTGGACCTTTTGGTACAAGTTGAATGAAGACCAGGACGGAGAAAAATTAGAGTGCAAAAAAAGTATTTGCGCATGAGGAGAGAAGACAGAGGATATTAGGTGAGCATGGGATTAAGGGTTTTTAATCCAGGTGAGTACAATAGTGAAGGCAAGGAAGACCTGCATGCAAAAATCTGTACTGTTGCAGGAAATGCTGCAAGAAAGCACACACCTGGAATAGAGGTAGAACTAACAATTTTTTTAACCCAGGCAAATCTTGTATTTGCTAGTAATTGAATAAAACTGAGTTTGTACTATCTTCTAAGAATCCCAATATAGAAAACAAAAATAAAATGATATTTTAAGATACAAATATTATGAACTATAGCTAAAATGGAATCTGAAAGTAATTAGCAACAATTACACAAGAAATATTCCCCCAAATTTTAAGGATGTTTCCACTTATAGTACAATATGAAAATTTTATACAAGAGGAGACTCGCTCCCTCAGGGTTTGAATAATTATCATTCACCAAATATCCAACCTTTTCATCCTCCTCCTCTTCATCCTCACTAGACTCCACATCATCCATATCTTCTTCCAAAGCACTAATCCGTGGTTCCAGTTGTTCAGCTTCTTCTAGAACGTACCGCTTCTAAAAGAAACCAAAATTTAAAAAAATACATAGGCAGTACTGTATTTAAGTGAACAAAAAGCTGACCCATGCATTTTGTACTCCATTGTACAAGTGGATCTTAATTTTGGTCACTAATTTGCACACAGTAGCCAGCTCTATTTTGACGTCTAGGATTTGAAGGTGATTCACACTTTCATGATAATTACATTACAAACCATACCTGTAATCTAGGCAAGATAATATCACAAACACGTTCGTCATGGAGCAGTTGATCAATGAACTCATCCACATGCATCAGCTCAAACTCTGGAAAAAAAACATGGAAAATGCTCATTAGGAGAGAGAACCACTGTTCTCTTTTGTGGTCTCTGTGGATCACACCAATGAGTTATGCGTACTTGCACAGAGCTTATTCAGAACACTCCCAAGCTGAGCAATTAATATTTGACAGTAACTCTACCCACCCTGCACTGCAAGTACATAACTACACCCAGCACTGACACCCTCAATTCCTTTTCCTCTGCTGCCAGAGTGTAAGCGATTTAGAGCCTCCTGCTGAGCTACTAGTGTATCCCTCATTGTGCACCAACTTGTATGACTATTGTGTGATGACAAACTTGTTAACTGGTGGAAATTCACAGCAATTTACTCCATTGCACTTACATTGGTGTAACTAATCAGTAGAGATCAGGGCCATTAATAATTCAAATGGCTACTATTTTGGATAGTGGAATACAGTGGTGTCCCGCTTGACGATTACCTCATTACACGAGGAAATCGCTTAACAATGAGTATTTTGCGATCGCTATAGCGATCGCAAAACAATGTTTAGACTGGAAAAAACCGCTTGACGATGATCTGTTCCCTGCTTCAGGAACCAATTTTTCACTTAACGACGATCAAAACAGCTGAACGTCGGGTCTTCAAAATGGCTCCCCGCTGTGTTTTAGGACGGATTCCTTGCTATACAGGCGCCGGAAAATGGCCGCCCTATGGAGGATCTTTGCTGGACGCTGAGGTATTTCGCCCATTGGAATGCATTAAACTGGTTTTCAATACATTTCAATGGGTTTTTTACTTTCGCTTGATGACAATTTCATTCTGCAGTGATTTTGCTGGAACGGATTATCCTCGTCAAGCGAGGCACCACTGTATATTAAACTATTAATTCTGGGTTTGAAATAAAAACTGTCAATATAAAAGAAGAAACACTGCCAATCTTTTTAGTTTATTGAAATCATGTTTCTCTTTCCTTTTCTTGAAAAAAGGGCTTCCCTATTTATATTTTTATTCAAATACCTTAGAAACAATTCCAAAGCAAATATTTGGAATTGAGGTAAAGCTACAGTGCTATACCTGTGACAGCAAAAATCAACACATAGCATACTCTGTTCTACAATCTGCAATCTACAACCACTAACAATAGAGCATTATCCAATTGCTTGTCCAAAATAAAGTTGACCCATTGATTCAATGGGATTTATCTAAGTATAGATTTACCATTGAGCAACTGATTCTATGGGTTTATTCTAGCTGGGACTAGAAACGACACTGGCCCACTGATGTACCTCTGGGGCACCTAGTTTTCTAGATGCTTTGAAAAAAAGGAAAATAGATTATCAAATGTAAGGTTAAGCTACTTACCTCCATTTCTATTTTGGCTTTTTATTTTTCGATAATCATTGTACAAAGGTTCAAGGTATTTGTAACAATCTATAGCGGTGCCAGTCAGTCTCATATAGAGTGCTCCCAGCAACCTCACGTACCTGAAAATTAGTAAATTCAAATACGTTTGCTTGGATTTTTTTTATCAATAAAGTTACCTAAAAATGAACTTTCATTGAAATTATGCCAATACTTTAAACTACTTGAACAAGTATCTTATCTCGTGTGTTAAAGTTTTCGGATCACCAAAAGTTAAACAGCCATTTATATCAGAAAAGTGATTCTAAATCCTGACATGAAAAGCTTGTATTGTAAGGTTAATAGTTTAGCAGGGTAGAAACAAATACATGAAAAAATTATAAAGACTACTGTGAATCAGAACTACTAAAACATTAAAATACTATTAAAAGTCTTCCTTGTATATTTACTAACAATTTTAAACAACATTATGAAGAAATGCATTTACTCCTCTTACTTGAAATCTTCATTCTTTATAAATTCAACAATAATATCTTTTTCAGGTTGTATCTGTAGCATCTTCAGAGTCAAGCATAAAAATGGTGTAGGCTTGATGTTTCCACCATAAACTCCACCAGTGTATCTTAGCTCCATAGCTTTATCCACAACCAATTCAGCTGTAACAGGAATCAGATTAAAGGTATTTTGGTTTCAAAATTAGATCTAGGCATTTTCTCTGATTTAATCAAAAAGAGTTAAGTGAGACGGTAGCAGCAACCCAGGTCTGTGGAAATAGTGACTGTGCTGTCAGTAGATGATAAAGCTTAGAGTTAGCATCAGAAAACTGTACAGCCATTGATCCAACCTCCTGCCAAAGCAGGAAGACATCTACAGCTGAAGTATTGGGTCATAGGCAGCCATCTAATCTCTTTTTAAAAAACGCCAATGAAGAAGAGCCCAGCACTAGTCACTGTTGTGGCACTCTGGGATTGTGTGGCTTGCCCAAAGCACCACATGTATCAGGACATGTAAACCCATCAGTCTGGGAGACCTTGGCTGGCCTCTCTTGCAGGAGACACAACAGGGATTAAAACTCTCAGTCCCGGTACTGCAGTCATGCACTCCTACCCTCTTCGCTATACTAGTTTATAGTATATTATGCTGGGTTGTTTAATGCAAAATTGACACTCTTTATTCATTCCGTTTGTTGCCATAAGTCAGACCTAACTTGATGGCACTTGATTATTATTATGTCATCAATTTCTTTTTGTAACTATTCTGTCTTATCATAATTCCATTTTTTTTCTTACCATAAGAAATCTTAAAGTGGAAAAGACAACTACAGTACATTGTATCTTTTGATTTACAGCTGCCTGTTGTCCCTGCACTAGAATCCACATACTGTATTTTCCTCTAGCTGTCACCTCAAACTGATCCTTGTCTGAATAAAATATTAATGCATATACTAGTCTTTCTATACGCAGATGCGAATCCAACTTCTTAGCTCATCCTGAAATGAACTTATACCCCAGAGCCAGCTTAATTAACGTTGGCTTTGAAAATGGCTTTAAACCCGCCCCTCGGTTATGGCACCTTGGAGCAAACTGTTTTCTCACAGCAGAGCTTTACCAGCGGCTGGCTTTCGGGGCTCACATAGAAATAACTGTCCAGAGGTCCTTGGAGAAAAGGGTAACCGTTACACAACGGCAACCGATCCACTACCTTAACGGGGCACAATTATGCCTTCCAACCACTCCAGGTTATATTCATCCCCTTCCCTCCCAAGCACCCAGCGCCTACCAGTGAGGCCGAAACACTCCTCCTTCCAATATTTGGACTCATAGATGCGGGTGCGGATGATCTTCTCCACGAGATACTGAGGGTTGGTGCCGTGGATACTGTGCGCATCCTTTACAGTCCGGTTTGCCATCGCTTGGCCTCACCCCGATCCCTTCAGCAGGACGAGAAAAGGAGGGGGAGGAAGAAGAAAGAGACCACCGATGGACAACTTCCTCCCCTTGCGCTTCCGCTTCCGGCTCACTTCCTGACAGAGACAAACGCAGGCGCCTAACGTCACTGTTTCGCCATCTTAGTACTTGATCGAAAAGCCACTTTTGTCCGGCTTCCTACCGCCAGTAGCAAACATGGCGGCCATAGCGGTCGCCTTAGTATTTCTGCTTTCCGGGGCGGGGCGACGCCGGTTTGGCGCGAAGTTTCATCCTGACGAGGAAAGGAAGGCGATTTGCGCTCGTGTTTCGCCAAGTTCCTTCTCGGGGATCTTCCAGTGCAGGTTGGTCGAAGTGGAAGGCCGCCTTGCAGTCGCCGTGGGGGAGGTGCGGCAGTCAGAGCGCCAGGTATTGTACGATTTGCCTGAACCATTAGTGGATCGTCAGTGAGGGTAATATTTCTCGAGAGCAACTGGGAGCCGCCTACGAACTTGTGCCTCCTTCATGCTCTACTTTCTCGAGCTGCTGGTTCACTTTATCAGCAACGAGGTAGACGTGGGGGGGGCGGGAAATGGAAGTAGTGCAGAATCTATGAATAAAGATTGCTTGGGTTTGTGGCAGCAACGTGTGTGCACGCATACATGCAAAATATAATATTTTTACTTTTATAGACAGAGGAATCATGAACAGAGAAGAACGGAAGGAAAGCAGCTACTCATGGATTGGAAAAAACATCCATACTGATAAACAGTCACAAATTTCGTATTATAGGTGTGTATCTGGCTTGGATACCCAGTGTGGTGTATAGAGTGGCAGACTCTGGATACCAGATCTCTGTTCTGCAAGGGAAATTCATGGCATGGTGGTGGAACTGGTAAAACAACTCCTTAAATATCTCACTTATCTTGAAAGCCCTGTTACGGTTGCTATAAGTCGCTATAAGTCGGTTCTGACTTGAGAGCACATAACACATAATAGCCTGGCCTGCAGTTTTAAAATTGGTATGCAGTGGTAACAGAGAAAATGAGAGTGAGGATTAACAGTAATTCGTTAGGTTCTGTTCAGTTGTTCATATGTTGCTTAGTTTCTGTAGGAGGTATGGGCTGGGTCTCACAGAAAAGTATTTTTTTAACCCGTTAAACAGAAAAATGTCCTGCAGCTTTCAGACTCATTGATTTATTTGAACATGTACTTTCATGGATTACAAAACACTTCTCCAGTTGCATGGAATATACTATTTGAGTCTCAGACTTCTATGTGTAGTCTTTGTGGTAGTGGTCCATTTCACTCTGATCTCCTACCCACAACCATGTTGACTGTATAGAAAGCTCAGGGTCAAATATTACATCCTATGCATATGACCAAATGGATGATAACAGGTGAAAGTTAATGTGAAAAAAAATCTGTTGGTCTTCTAAGTTACCACAGGACCTTCTGAGCAAAATCCTGTGGGTTGAATTATATCTATATAAGTGTGGTGACTTCACTTGCAGGAAATTGATTTTTAGCAATTAAAGTGTTTCTAGTTCTGTCCTGCAACTTTACTGGCTCACATATACAGTAATCAGTCCCATTGTGTGTTAACTGTCAGAACACCAGGACACAAGAAGGAATTCTTTATTGAAAATTTTCCCTGCCAGGTGAAGTACAAGCAGATGAAGATTTTCAGTAATTAAAGCCTTCTTTCTTCACTCCTAGAGCTCCCACAGTTTGCATACAATCAGACAGAATACACGCAAGCTGGACAAGTCTTGGGACAGAAGTAGGAACTCTATTTAAAAAATCTTCCCATGCTGGTGATGTCATCACCCTTACAGTAATGTAACATGAAATAACACGAGTTGGTCTTTTTTGTTTGCTCGTACTAAAACAGTAGCTTGGCTATGTCTGAAAATTAGCTGAACAGAAATTTGATGGAAGAAACTGAGACAGGGCCATACAGAAGTTCTTGGAGAGAGTTTAAAGGAAAGGAGCAATAAAGAAGAAAAAATAGAATAGTTTGATGGACCTGAAAACTAAAGGTTGTGGGACTGAAAGAATAATAGTTGCAGACAGATGAGAGTCAGAAGCAAATGGAGATCAAGGCTGTTAATTTCAATGGTATATTCTAACTATTAAGAATGAACAACATGTTTCTGTCCCTCATTTTGTAGGGGAGTAAAGATTCAAGAGAGAAAAAACCTACCTGAAATCAATATCTTCCTTAAAGAATTTATTTTAATAGAGACTGAGGAAGTGGGTCAGCAGTTTGTGGCAAGACTTAAAAAACTATATGAAGATGGTAAGTCTATTTTTGTTCACTGCAAAGCAATTTTCTCCCTTGTTAGTCAGGATAACTCACCGCTTTGGAGTTTTAATTTGTAAAAAAAAGTTGGTTAAAAAAATCATTTAATGCACAGAAAATTTTAACCATTATTAGTTCAAAAATAATTAAGCTTAGTGCTATAAAACAGTATTTTAGGAGAAATGAAATAGAAGAGTAGAAACGATGCAGCAGTTAATTCCATGGCATAAACCCAGTGTCATACAACCAGCCATCTAATAGAATAAGGCTTTTTCTTTCTTGTACTACTCCCACACCTGCTCTAAAGAGTTTTCTAGCTATTTGGAGTATATGTGGAAGGTACATGAAGGACTGTAGGGTCAATACAGAATTTGTCTTTCTCCTGGTCCTGCTGATGAAGCCCATTCTATCAGTGTAATACTTGGGCTTGATCTAAAACATTCTAGCTTAGTAAATATTCACCATGTTTTTTGTGCGTATGTTCATGTCCTTTGTAACTGCTTACTTCCCTCACTACAAGATAGAATTATAATAAGGGAAAGGAGAGAACTTGACTAAGAATTTCTGCATATTATAATTCTATTTCATATGTTTAAGGTTTGGAATATTTATTTTCTATGTTTCGTACTAGTTCCAAAGGCAATCCAAAAATGCTGGGTTTAATTTTAAATGTAGATATAAGGAGACTTCATTTTTTAAGATGAAACTTTCAGGGTTTGGAACTGCAGTCTGAGCAGTCTTCTCACTTGATGCACAAGTTGAGTACATCACAGGGATCTTGTTTTATTTCTCCACCCAATCATTCCAGCTTTTGCCAGAAGACCCATCTCAAGAAGACAGGATAAACTTATATTGGTGCTCAAGATGTGGGGGTGAAAAACCTGAGGAACAATCTTGCTATTTATTCAAATGTTCTTCAGTGAGAACACTGTTAATGGTGGGCAACCATAAAACAAAAGACAGACTTCTTACAACTACTACCTTTGTGTTGTAATGAATGGTAGTTTGGGATGTGTCCAGTCCTATGCTCTTAGTTCACTTAAATCTTAGTTCACACTGTACTTCAAGAAAATGTCTCAAAATTCTCTGCAATACTTTGGCAAATGTATAACATTACCTTGTCAAACTGATTGATAAGGGAAGGTTTCTTTGAGAGTAGAAGGCTTGAAAACAACTGCATTAGCCCTCATGCAGATTTAATGAAGCAGAAAAAAACCCACTATAATGCTGAAGTACCTCAGTTACAATGGTTGTTGATCATGCAAATTGGAACTGTGAAGTTCCAATTTGCATGGTCTACCAGCGTTTTGATTATGCTTCTTTTTTGTCATGGGTGGTGGTTGGCGTTTTTGTGTAGGTTCTGGTTTGTGTGGTGTATTTTCTGTAGACCTTATGTCCCTAAACCATCTCAATAGCATCCATTCAAATACACAATTCACCATGGAAAAAGAAATATAGGGCCAACTCCCTTTCTTAGATGTCATCCTCATATGCAGACCTGACCTCCTATTGGGATACTCAACTATTCCACACGCTACATCAGAACACAGAGTTCTAACTCCTATCCTCTGAAGATGCCGGCCACAGAGACTGGCAAAACATTAGGAAGAAAAACCTCTAGAACATGGCCAAACAGCCTGAAAAACAACCATCGTGAAAGCCTTCGAGAATACCTCAGCTACTTTTGTCTTTATTATCCTAGGTGCCCAGGAAAAGTATGCAACCGTGGAGTTGTTCTCTCGTATTGCAGATATACCTCTCAGTCAAAGGCTGTCTCTTGGACAAGAGGATTCTAATGAAATATTTCAGAATGAAAATATGGAACAGGATACCACCATACTTGTTACATCTATTATTTGTACTGTCCCGGTGCGTATATTGAGTATTTATCAGTTGGAGGAAAGAGTGAAGTTCTTTGTATTTCTGTGATCGTTCATATTTGAAAGATATTAACCAAATATCTTCATCTCCAAGGTCAGTTTGAAAGTTCTGCATTGGTCTGCAATAGTAAATACAAGATGCACCACCGCAGTTGCTCTTCCCTGAAATAAGCTGAATATCATTAATTCATTTTATGTTCCTTGATAATTGTATGTTGCTACTTGGATGTAGCAGCCCCATAGGAGTGGGTTTAAAAACTTTTTGTTTCAGTTGTACCATTACATTGTCCTTGTATCTTGACTTACCAGTCGTTTCAGTACAGTGGTGCCTTGCTTGACAATGTTAATTCGTTCCAGCGAAATTGCTGTAGAGCGAAAACGTCATCAAACGAAATTAAAAATCCCATTGAAATGCATTGAAAACCGTTCAGTGCGTTCCAGTGGGCTGAATACCTGCTCGTCCAGTGAAGATCCTCCATACGGCGGCCATTTTCTGGTGCCTATTAAGCGAAAAAACCTTCCTAAAAACAGCAGGGGGAGCATTTTCTTCAGCCGGTGGCCATTTTGAAACCCGATAATCAGCTGTTTGCTGATCATTGTAAAGCGAAAATTGCTTCCCGAAGCAAGGGACCGATCATCGCAAAGCGGAAAAAACCCATTTAAATCATCGTTTTGTGATCACAAAAAACCTAATTGTATAGCGATTTCCTCGTTAAGTGAGGCAATCGTTAAGCGAGGCACCACTGTATTGTAGAAGGAAACACTCATGTCTCTTGTAGCAGCATGTCATTGCTTCATAGGGAGATTTAAAGACTGATCAGAACATGGAGTAAAATATCCTTAGAAACGATTCAAGCAGTCCAAAAGTTAGAATATCTTTATCATGCTGGTTGTACAGTTTGGGCTTCCTTAGTAACTAGGAGAGAGGCCCTTATCCCATTTTGCAGTGGTTAAAGTACCATTTGGTCTTCAGGTCTTTAGGCTTGTCTTTGTTGCACCACCACTAAAATGCAACCTTAGAGCTAGTGATATCCTTACATTTAAACTATGACAGTTCATTTCTAAGTATATGTTGTATACATTGTTTTATCAAAGGCAGTTAAGGACACAGGGGAGCAATTTTGAGCCAGTTTGTTTTAGATTAGCCTTCCCCAACTCTGTGTTCTCCAGTTGTGTTAGATCACTGGTTCTTAACCTTGGGTTACTCAGGAGTTTTGGACTGCCACTCCCAGAAGCCTTCACCACCAACTGTGCTGGCTGGGGTTTCTGGGAGTTGCAGTTCAAAAACATCCGAGTAACAAAGGTTAAGAACCACTGTGTTAGATGACAACTCCCACCAGTGCTCTGCTGGTTGAGAATGTTGAGCATTGTAGTCTAAACATTGTGAGGACACTCAGCTGAGGAAGCCTGATTAATTTAAATAGGACAGCAGATTTCTTTTACTGTACATTTAATATAAAGAAGAGCAATTAACAGGCACCATCTTGGAAAAAGATTTGCACTTTGAAGTGAATGCCTGTTTTAAGACCCTGCCTGCAACAACATTTATGCATTGACCAGAATCCTGTCACTTGCATCTGCCAGTGTAAATCTCTGTGCTGAGTAATCACAAGTTAAGAAGTTAGTGTAGGTGTTCACTGTTGCTCAGTAGAACAACAAAGGCCTATGCTAACATATTAACAGCAGTTTGCCACCAAGGTTGACAGACATTACATTGTGCCACTGTAGGATTTCGACCTTGTGTCAGCTATTTTGTTTAGTTAAGTCGTGTCTGACTTCGTGACCCCATGGACCAGAGCACGCCAGGCCCTCCTGCCTTCCACTGCCTCCCGGAGTTTGGTGAAGTTCATGCTGGTAGCTTCGGTGACACAGTCCAACCATCTGGTCCTCTGTCATCCCCTTCTCCTCTTGCCCTCACACTTTCCTAACATCAGGATCTTTTCCAGGGAGTCTTCTCTTCTCATGAGATGGCCAAAGGATTGGAGCCTCTGCT